AGATTGCTTTACTAATGTACACAAAGTTACCCATCCTGGTGTGTTTCCTGAGTTGCAAGATGCTATTCCCTTTTCTTCTGACACAAAGTGTTACAATTAAAAAGCCTAATGGGGTTGGGGGAGGGGCTGGGGATACCTTTCAACAAGTAAATCTGGACATCCTTTATCTTGTCCTCTGTCCTCTGACCTCCACACACCTGCCGGGACACATGTGGCTACCTGGTCCACCAGTTTCTGGAGATTCTCCTGTCTCTACCCACCAGAGCAGAAGCACTGGGATTCCAGACTCAGCGCCTCACATCTGTGCAGCAACTGCTACAGCCATCTCCCCAGCCCATCATATTTGTACGCTGGTTTTTATTTTGGGTTTTTTTTTGGTATGCATTTAAAACGTTTACATATTGAAATTTATAATTTATTGATTTCTTTATTTTTATACTAATAAGCTTCCCCCCCCCATCCCAAGGTCTAATAAAACCTCACTTAAGTCTCTATGTGGCTACACTTTTGTCTATGGTCTCTTCCTTATTTTCTGCCTTCCTATCTTCCTTCCTTTTGTTTTTGTTGTTGACGTTTTGTTTTTGGTTTTTGGTTTTTGTTTGTTTGTTTTTTGAGACAGGGTCTCACTATGTAGCCCAGGCTGACCTGGAACTCACTATGTAGACCAGGTTAGCCTTAAGCTCACAGATATCCATCCACCTGCCTCTGCCTCCCAAGTGGCCAATCAGAGGTGTATGCCACTACGTCCAGATTGATGTGACATGAAAAGGAGAAAAAGTAGTGTCTTTTCTCACTTTATCACTGTTTCATGGCTACAATCCCTATGACAGACATGTTAGAAAAAAATATTTAGCATGTTAAGCACAGGCTTTTGCATGATGTGTGAGCTTTCAGTAATGAAGACATAAGGGAATGGGACATCTATTATGTACTTCTGTGGACAGTTGTGCAGGGCATGATGGGAAGACAGAGGGCTCTGATCTAAGGTATTCAACTCGGGGGCAGAGGAGGCAGACTCAGAAAGACCTCTCTATTCAGATTCTCCTGGGCATCCTTGCATGATATTGCTTCTCTAAGGAGTGAGGGGGGAGGTGTGCTGTGGTGGAGAAGGGGCAGGAAGAATTCTGGTTCTCGTGGATCCTGCAGAAGGGAACAGGAGGTACTTCCATCGGAGAGACCTTATTCTGCATTCTGGGTTCAGTTTTCTTTAGTTTAAGATCCGCGGTATGCCAAGGTGCTGTGTTCTGAGGTACCACATGTTCTATGTCTCTCTTAGGTAAGAATTTAAAGGCCGTGTTTCCACATGCTCTTAGCTGGTTATCCAGGTACTGTTAGCCAAGCTCCCGTGCTTTGGTGACATCATCTTTATCACACAGTGAATAAAGAGATGATATAGGCCTTTGGCCTGTATCTGAACTGCTTTTGTTACACAGGTGGGTCTCTCTAGGGTTCTCCATCCCCAACAAAATCTTTCCTTGTAGTCCAGACAGACGTAGAAATCACTAGATAATCATGGCTGGTCTTGAACCCGTGAATCTCCTGACTCAGTCTCTCAAGTTTTGGATTACAAGGGTCTTCATCTATAGTCAGGGGGGCAAAGGAATGTCGTCAATAAGTCTGTGATTCATGTTCTTACTGCATAATCTGAAGTCAGAGAGAACTGAGTCAAGTGTAAATTGGGGACACACAGGGAAGAGGAGAGCATTAATCCTAACCCTTCAAGGGCAGAGGGCTCTGAGTAGAGGGAAGACACTTAAGAAGATAAATATCCATCCCCTGCCCCCCCCCCAAATATTTGTAAGAGCTGCAGAAAGCTCTTACACTTGTGGTAGGGGAGGGGCACTCTCTTCTCTCCCCTCGAGTATCCAAGCTACACTCACAGGCCTGAAGCTCAGCGAGCTTGCTAGCAATGCCCCTGAGAAGAGCCCAACTGTGATGTGTGAAGAAAGCAGGCTCCGGTCTTTCACCTACAGAAGAATATATAATATTTATTGATTTCCCTTTGAGTAACAGGGTTAGTGAAGACTGTCAAAGCTCCAGGGAGATAAACATGAAATGTGTGTGTGTTCTTTCTTCCAGATTAATCTATCGATTATGCTGTGGAGCCGCCCCTTCCCACCTATATCTCAGTCTGACTGTTTTGCTTATCAGAATCATTTCTCTCGTTGAAGTTCGCTTCTCTTCTATTTTAAATTCAAACTGTGTACTGGATTTGAATCTTTACTCTTCCTCTGTCTCTCACAGACTATATAAACTCCCGGCTTTGGAAGGTTTGGGGCATGGCAGTGAAGAAGCTTTTTCACCTTGTCAGTCTCCTTCTCCACTGCTCTGGGTGTGGATTGTGGTGCTCACAGCTAATCATGTTACCCGAAGGCTGACCCTGGCATCAGTAGGCTCCTGATTTGTTGGGAAACATGGTTTACTTTTCCAACTGCCTGTCAGCTGATGGCAGTGTGTCACTGATACATGCGTCTCTGTGCCCAGTGCATGGCTGTCCTCTGACAGGTCTGTAGGCTTCAAATGCAGCCCTCTAAGCAGGAACACGCACCCTGCACCTTCAGCAACCAGGGCACAATTCCATTCAGTTCTTCTTCTTCTCAGCATCTGTTAATTTCTAACTTATAAAAACTTTTTTCTCTGAAGTGCCAGTCCCTTTAGATCTTAAGATGACACCCTTGACTTCATCCTTTTGCATGGGTCCACATGCCTCGGGCTTTGATTCTGTGACTCATTGAACCATGAAGCATACGTCTCATCTTAAGATCCTCAGATCCACTGAAGATGGAGAGTTACCCACCAAGTCACACAAGGTGAAAGATCAGATTCTGGAGTCCAAGTTTTCCTAGAGGGACAGGCTTGCTAAGGATTCTGGGAAGACAGGACCTAAGATGCCGGCAGAGCTCAGCCTGAGGCCTACCTGAGCACATCTTGGCCGAGTAATCTTTGACAACATTCTCAGGTCCTCCTAGAGTTTCTTCAACTATAAAACACAGGTGCTGAGGCTGTGGGACTGGCTCGGTGGTTAGGGGTGCGAGCCACAGGAGCCTGGTGACCTAAACTCAATCTCAGAACTACGTAAAGCCAGATGTGATAGCAGAAAGCTACAATTCCAACACCCTTAGTGCAAGATGGGAGGCGGACACCAAAGAGTTGTGGATCCCCGAGCTTGCTGGCTCACCCGGATATCACAGCGGCGGAAGCAAGAGAGGCCCTGCTTCAACTAGGGGGAAGGCCAGAACCAACTTCTGAAAGTTGTCCTCTGACCTCTACATGTTATGTGTGTTAACACACACACAGATACACACATATACACAGACACACACACATGATAAATAGTAAAAACAAATATGGATAATGGCAATAGTATCTAGTTTATAGAATATATATATATACATATACATATATATATGTTGCTTAAATGAGATTGATAAAAAAAAGTTCAGTGTCTAGTGTGTCTAAGGAATTCTCATTAATAATTCTCTCTCACCAAGAACATATCTACAGGCCACTGCTAAATTCAAATTGGTCCAAATGTCACTTGCAGATGGTTGAGTCACGCATTATTGGGGTTATTCCCAAGCAAGGAATTGGCGTGCTGTGTGTAACTGACTATGGCCGTGAGCTCCTGCCTCAGTCAGGATCTGTACCCTGGCAGATCTGAAGGCAACACACAGCTTAGCCCCGTCGAATTCATTTGCAAATAAATAAAAACAAATCTCTTGATGATTACTTTTGCTGCATTCTAGCTGCAGAGACTAAAGACTAGAAAACTCCTGAATGATTATTTTGATGTGTCGATATTGATATTTTGAAACCTACTGCTTTATGACAAAAGTCCCAAGTTGCTGGGTGGTGGTGGTCGGGTAGTGGTGTCAATTCACACTGAAGGAGAACAAAGATTCTGAGAGAGCTGACCCATAAAAACAGCTCCGAGGGCTACTCATTTGTCACGGCTCACCCTACCCTCTGGGGTTCCGATGTCACACTTACTTCCAGATTAATAGCCCAATTAGAAACCTATTGACTAAGGTTGTATTAAAGGCAATGACCCTTCACACTATAAGCCGGGCCTTTTAAAAATCACCCTCACAACCAAAGGCAAGCAGAGGTTGCCTTCCCATTCTTGGATACACTCTGCCCCCTAGTGTTCACACACGCAGCGGCGGAGGGAGGGCTCCTTTGTTGTTCCAATTTACCTCTAGGGACTTGAGCAGGAATAGGCCTGTCACCCTCTCACCCATCCTTTCCGGTGCCCAGCTCCCTTCACTGCTCCGAGAGAGAATTCCCGGGAATTCTCCAGTGTTTCTACTTCAGGTCTTTGAAGTTAAATTAGCACATTGATCTTCCTGTATGTTTAAAAGTGCCGGGTGTGGCAGCGTGGGCCTGAAATCCTAGCACTAGGGAGGCGGAGGCAGGATGGGAAGTTCCAGGTTAGTCTGGGCTACTGTGGTGATCTCCAAACCGGCCTAGGATTCAGAATGAGGCCTCATCTCACTTTTCCACCTAGTTTTGATTTGTTTGGTCGATTGATCGTTTTGGCAGATTGCTAAGGCTTAGATCTCCCAGAGGGAAAGAGCGTGGCAGGTGGGTCTCTCTGGGTTTCCTGGGTGCACATAGACATAGGGGTCAATCAGTCTTCGTTTCCTGTTTACAAGACAGAGAAGTGTCCCTCATCCCCTCCTCAGCAGAATGTTATACCTTTCTCTCACTTTCCGCCTGAAGGACCCAGGATTGGAAAACTAGCCTTCCCTACTGCCGAAAGAGGAAGGAGTGTGGTGGGCAGGGCTTCCCAACTTTCTAGGAGTCCTTCTGTTCTCAGTAGGGTAGGAGAAGGCCTCAGATGCAGTTCCCGGGGGCTCTACCTTAGATAGCTGGCCAGGGATCTGTTTGTAGAGGAGCAATCTGGACAACACAAATGAACCGGCAGATGTCTGGGTCAGACCCACGATCACGTGACTTTCCCACAAGCCAAGAAATACAAGCGGCCCCAAAGCAGAAAAGGCAAGGGTCATATTCTCCCCTCCAGCCTTGGGAAGGACTCAGGCTCCTAGTTCCTCATTTTCAGTCTTTAAAATTCACATTAGGACTTCCGATCTCCAACCCCGTGGATGATAAATCTGCAAAGTCTGAGGTAAGTCACTATGATCCCAGGAAACTAATAGAGAGTAAAAGACGGTTTGGGGAATCTTAAATCTGCATTTTTGATGGACTACAGGTAGCTTCTCAGGCACACTAAATTTCTGAGAACTGGAAGTATAGTGACGATTGAAGATCTGGATTCCATCTGACTCTGGTGTTGTGAGTGGTCTGCTGGGACTCAGTTTCCCCAGCTGTAAACAAAGGCAGCTGTGCGGGAAGGTACTTTGAAGGACTCTTCTGCCTCTAGCTCTGGGAGAGTCTGAGAAATGGCGGTTCCCTGCAAAGAACAAACCTGGACCGAGAGGTCTCTGAGCCCCAGGGATCACCCCTAAGAGCCTTTATTTCTCAGCTAATTTTCATATAGCACTTCCCATGTGCCAGGTCTTGCTCCAAGCATTTTACTTTTGTGAACTATCCGCAGGGCTATCTAGATACAGCAATCAGCCCGATGTGCACTTAATAATTAAATGCTTTAGGAAGAGGATTTCTAACAAGCTGCTGGGGGGAGCACCGGGGTGGTACCATCTTCTGCTAATGAAGGGGGCAGACTCCCTGTCTCTACTGTGAAAAGAAAAATGTCACAAACATTACATGCAGCCTGAGGGGTATGGATAGAAGGGGGAAGGGGCTGCCGTTGCCAGGCAACCAGCTCATCACTAATCATGTGCATAAAAGCTGTGGGTCTCCTTTTCAGCACAGCTAGTGGGCCTTCCTCCTTGCCCCGCCCCCTGCCGCTCCCTCCAGCTGCCCTTTGGGCTCTCTTTGCAAACAGATCACAGACTGGCCTGGGTTCTCCTCCCATCTTTCAGGCTTGGTTCCGGCGACAGAACACAAAATGAGAAGAAAAGCCTGTTGATGGTCGACCCAGCTGAAGGAAGCCTGGCTCCCATCTTCTAGGACACACTGTCCACCCACAGCTCTGAATGAGCCGTCACCCTGGAGGCTCACTTAGATTTGAGGAAAATCCTTTCTGACCCTTGCGGTCAAGGGAGGCTCTTGCTATTTACCATGTGGATACTGAGCAAACATGTGGGTCCCTGTGCTGGCTTTTGATGTACTCAGTAAACATTGCTGCTGGATGCAGCCAACTGTCCAATTACAAAAGATTCAACACTCTTCCCCCTGGGTCTCTGTTGTCTTAAAGAGCCAGGACCTAGTGTGACCGAAGAGTTTGCATAGCACGCATCATACAGAGAGTACTCATTCTGGGGGAAGCTTTGGTCCCAGAGGGCCAAGCCATCTTTTGGAAGACAATCACAGAAGACCGCTTCTGGACCACACAGGTCTGGGACAGCCAGATTCAGTAAAGGTGTTTGCATTCTGCTAAGATTAGAAGCTCTCTAGGAGAACAGAGTTAGCTGCAGGGGCCAAACGCTGATATGTGTCCCATTGGGATTGGAAGGTTATTTCAAAGAGAAATGGTTACAAACCCTGGCTGACAGTTAAGTATATGTGCCAACTCCCTTACCTTCCTTAGTTCCAAAGCTGGTGCTGTTCTCATTTGGGCCACTCTCCTGAGGTTGGGAAAGGGGATGGGTCTTCCTGGGGAATCCAGGAGGGGGTGGCCACACTCTTGAAGGGCTGAGGAGACTGTGGATTCCTGGAGATGGTTGACACAGGGACATAGCTCAGTACCTATCAAAATGTCCTTCCTTCCCCTTGCCCACACTTCCTCAGAAGTGCCCATGGCATATCTTGTCCCCAGGAGTTTCCACCCCAGAGATCTGTCTGACTAGAGTCTGCATGGATGCCCTACCTCTCTGTCTAAAATAAGATCATGGCCTCATTTACTCTCAGTCTCCTGTGTTTCGTTTTCTTTTCTTTTTTTTTTTTTTTTTGTTTTGTTTTTTTGTCTTTTGAGACAGAGTTTCTCTGTATAGCCCTGGCTGTCCTGGAACTCACTCTGTAGACCAGGCTGGCCTCGAACTCAGAAATCCACCTGCCTCTGCCTCCCAAGTGCTGGGATTAAAGGGATGTGCCACCACTGCCCGGCACTTTTAAAAATCTTTTTATTTACTTATTTTATGTATATGAGTATACACCATTGCTCTCTTCAGACACACCAGAAGAGGGCACTGGGTCATTTTAAAGATGGTTGTGAGCCATCATGTGGTTGCTGGGAATTGAACTCATGACCTCTGGAAGAGCAGTTGTTGCTCTTAACCACTGAGCCATCTGTCCAGCCCTCGTTTTCTTTTAACACCTGCCTACCTTTCTTTCTTCCTGTTAGTCCCATCACACCCACAGTCAAGAGCAGAGAGAGCCAAATGTGTCCATCTTGGCTGCTAGCTTTTGTTGGCTGTTCGGCTAGCTTTCTTCACTCTTAAAACACTGGGTTCTTTACTTAGTGTGGTTAAGTAGCAAGGCATCCTCACCTCCTTCTGGAGGTTAACTGTGGCCATGCCATTCTGGTTCTCTCGTAGACATAGGTTCTGTTTCTTCAGATCCATATACATAATGCTCCCCACCCCTAGCCCCCTCTAAGAGGGCCTCCTGAAGGTCAGCCTGGAACTTGCTATGAAGCTGAGGATGACTTTGAACTTCTGGCCTTCCTGCCCCTACCTCCCAGATTCTGGAATGATAGATAGCACCATCATGTCCCTTTTGTGTGTGCTGGGGTTTGAACCCATAGCTTTGTGCATGGTAGGCGTGCACTTTACCAACTGAGCTACACCTCCAGCCCCCTCCTATCTTTCTCTAAGTTCTGTGTATTAACTGACTGTGCCACTGGAAGCATTTGTTCTTTCTTCTATACGTTCTTGAACCCTTCACTTTTAGTATCTTGAAAATTTATGGTGTATGTGTTTACATAGAGCTTCCGCATACTTTTATACAACAGAGTAATATTCCCATCTATGGATACAATGTATCTATTCCCTTGGGTAGAAGGGTGGCTTGCCTCTCCTTGTTGTTATTATTTTAAAAGCATAGCAGAACTGGAGATGTGGTTCACTTGGTAGTGTTTACCTATCATGCAGGAAGTCCTAGGTTCAGTCCCCCAGCAAAACATAATCTGGGTATCATGGCCCATGCCTTCAATCCCAGTACTCACGAGACAGAGATGGGAGGATTGGAAGTTCAAAGTCAACCCCAGCTATTATCCTAGATCCATCGCTGTGGCTGTGATCACAGATCCTGACTGGTTTAGGGTCTCTATTGCTCTGATGAAAACCATGACCAAAAACAAGTTGAGGAGAAAAGAAGGGTTTATTTGCCTCACATGTCCATGTCACTGTTCATCACTGATGGAAGTCAGGAGAGGAACTCAAACGGGGCAGGAGCCTGGAGGCAGGAGCTCACGCAGAGGCCATGGAGGGGTACTGCTTACTGGCTTTCTCCATGTGGCTTGCTTGGCCTGCTTTCTTTTAGACCCCACACCTGCCCAAGGGGAGCACCACTCATAATGGGGTTGGTCCTCCCACATTAATCCCTAATTAAGAAAATGCCCACAGGCTTGCCTGCAGCTTGACTGTTTTCTTAATTGACGTTCGCTGTTCCCTCATCTCTGGGGACTCTGGCTTGGGTCAAGTTGACATAAAACTAGCTAGCACACTGACCAAAAGTGGGTTTTCTTTATCTTAACAGTTTCAGTTACAATCTATCACTGAGGGGAAGTCATCACGAGCTCAAGTAGCTAGTCATATCACAGAGCTGAGAGATGCAGAAGCATTCGTGCTGCTGTTTGCTGCTTATGTTTGGCCAGGTTTCTTCATCGTACACAGTTCAGGACCGGGGCTTGGGAGTGGTACCATTCATAGTGGGCTGGGTAAATTAACCATCAAGACATGCCCTCGGGCCAACCTGATCTAGATCATCCTCCAATTGAGATACTCCCTGGGTAATTCTAGATTGTGGCAAATTGACCTTTAAAACTAATTAGCACAGACCTATAGAAATTCAGAAGCCTGGGCTGCATAAGCCCCTGTCTCAAGACAATCAGAAAATCAATAAAATGTGTTGCAAATAATCCTTTTTTATTTTTTTGTTGCTGGAGGGTCAAACCCAAGGCCTCAGGCCTGCTAGGCAAGGGCTCTACCATTGCATTGAGTTCTGTCCCTTACCTATCTCATATGTGTGTGTGTGTGTGTGTGTATGCATCACACACATATATATGTATACATATTAATATAAGCATATATATGATATGTCATATCGTACATATGTGACCATATAACACAGTCACAGAAATCAGGTTGCCGAGTGCCTAGGTAGGGGTATGTTCTTGCCACCTGAATCCATCCCATCAAATTGCTTGCCGCAGACATCTGCAGACATCTGCATCTATACACCAGCAATTTACTCAAGAGCTTGATTCCTCCTGATTTGCCAACATTCTTTTATCTCTACAAATTTGATAGCTGAAATTGCACTGTGAATTCTATTTTTCATGTTCTTATTGTGAATAAGGCTTAATCGCTTCCCCGCCAAGAGGCATACATAGTTCCTTCTGGTGAAATGCCTATTTTTCTATTAGACTGTTGGTCTTTTTTTTTTTTTTTTAAGAGTTATCAGAGCTTTGATATATTAAGAAAATTACTTTTTGGATGTGGTAGGAGTAACAGATATTTCTCCCGTGTGTCATTTAGATAAAAAAAAGTCTGTTTTCCACCTTAAAGTATTGTTTTAGTCTAATTTATTCTTCTGTGTATGTAAGTGTGTGAGACTGTCATTTTGAGATTTTCTCTTTAAATGCTTTATCACAGTAGAGCAGGATTGTGGAAAGCATCTTTAGTTAGCTCCGTTCCTGGTATTGCCCAGATGGGGTTTTCATACAACTCTCAACTCTTGATGAATGGAGGGGCTGCCTTCTCTCCCAAGGCCTCTTGGGAGCGCTGGGAAGCGCCCAAGCTCTGATGGTGCTCAGTCATTTACGTTGGCTCTTATAAATCTCGGTTCCGGAGACTGACACGTTTTTGACTCTTTTTCAGGATTCTGGAACGTACCACCTGGTTTAGTCTTTAATCATCTTGCCACTCGTCACAGGTGCAGAAGGTTGAAGCTGTCGGGAAACATCTGTTCAGTAGGAAAGGGACCTCTTCCTCTTGGCAGGAGCCATTGTGCACCCGTCACTGAGTCCGCCTCCCCGCACCTGGCTGCCCACTCACCTTCATCAGCATCCTCACCTGTCTCCAACTCCGCCTCGGCTCTCTCCCGGTGGTTCTCAGTTCCCAGGCTAGCTTTTCTAGGCAGGCTGGCCATTCTCCCTTCTTCAGAGTGACTTATTCGTTGGGAACGGGTCCAGGTAACCAGTCCTGAATAATACGGCATTCTTTAGAAGAAATCAATGTAAATTTAGAAATACAAAAGAAAATATGAAAATTAACAGAATGAGAACACATATCACAACAAATTATGGATACTTAAGAGTTGGCAAACGGCAGAACACAAAATGTAGAAAAATAACTCATGTCTGTAATATCCCTTTTCTTTTTGTTTAGGGGTGAGATCTGATTTATTTTTAGTTTTGTTTTTTGCTTTTTTGAATACCGGAGGGACTTAAACATGTAAGCCTTCTACTGCTAAGCTTATATATCTTCAGCCTTCTTTTCCTTTTTTATTTTGAGGTCAGATCTCAGTTAGTTGCCTAGCCTGGCCTTGAACTCACTTTGTAGCCCAGGCAGGCCATGAGTTTGCAATTCTTTGGCCTCGGCCTCCTGAGTAGCTAGGATTCCAGGCCTGTGCCCCTGGACTTTCCTTTTGCTTGTTTTTCCAGGTGACAACGAGGTTGAAAGACTGTTATCTAGATGGGGATTACAGAGAATATTTTTGAGATTAGAAAAGCTGATCCATGCTTCACAATGTCTCAATGATGTCTCATTGCAACACAGGCCAGTGCCTTGGGATGCTTGAATCTGCAGTGCCTTACACACACACACACACACACACACACACACACACACACACACGTGCCCTGCAGGCTTGTTTGTAGCTCCTCAGTGTAGTGGTTAATATTGAATGTCAGCTTGATTCTAGAATCACCTAGGAGACAAACCTCGGGGCGTATCTATAATGAATTCCCCCCCCCCCCTCTCTCTCTCTCTCTGCCTCTCTCTCTCCTTTTCTTCTTTCTTTCTTTCTTTTCTTCCTTTCTTCCTTCCTTTCTTCCTTCCTTTCCTCCTTTCTTTCTTTCTTTCTTTCTTTCTTTCTCTTTCTTTCTTTCTTTCTTTCTTTCTTTCTCTCTTTCTCTCTTTCTCTCTTTCTTTTTATGAGATAGGGTTTCATTGCATAGCCCTGGATGTCCTAGAACTCACTCTGTAGAGCAGGCTGGCCTTGAATTCACAGAGATCCATCTGCCTCTGTCTTCCAAGTGCTGCGATAAAAGGCATGTACCACCACTGCCCAGCTGGCTTCCTTCCTTCCTTCCTTCCTTCCTTCCTTCCTTCCTTCCTTCCTTCCTTCGTCTGCCTGCCTTCCTCCCTCCCTCCCTCCTCCACCTTGTCTCACTGTAGCCCCAGCTATCTCCAAAGTCACTATCAAAGCCTGATTTTTGCCTCTGCTTTCTGAGTTCTGAGATTAAAGGTGTTCATTACTATCCCTAGCTGGAGTTTTCTAGTATAAGTTAGTTGAGATTGGATGACCTACCCTAATTGTGGGTGTCGCCTTTCCATGGGCTTGGGGGCCCAGATTGAATATTGAGGAGAACAGGAAGTGAGTGTGAGCTCTCATCCCTCTGCTTCTTTGCTGCTGATGCAATGTGGCCAGATCCTTCGAGTACCTGCTGCCCTGCCTTCTCTATCATAATGCACTGCGCGCTGAAACTGTGAGCCCAAAGAAACCCGCCCTTAAGTCACAGCTG